AAAAAATCAACGCAAAATAGTGATATTTGGCAATTTTGAGATGTCCCCTCGTTGCCATGGTAACAGAAAATTTAAGACTGAACATGTTGTTTCAAAGGCAATGGTCCAGTTAACATGTGTGCCAAGGTTGATTAGTATTGAAACAGTTTTTATAGTTTTATAGCAATTTTAACTTGTTACGGGAGACTTTTCAATGAAAACAGCCATTTTTCACAAAATGCTCATGCAGTAATGGGTTTAAGATGAGTATACTAAAATACAATTACTTTATAGTAATATGACACCGAAGTTGCGTTTATCAAAACATATGGAGCTGAACAATTAGAAAGAAAAGAAAAACTTGAATTATATTTTCTTTCTAAATCGGGGTTGAGATAAATCCTAACTATTAATGTTAATGAATACGTATAGGGTGATTTTCACGAACGAACGAGATAAATGTAAAGATGGCTGACTGATGTTATCTTAAATTCAACCTATGCATCATGATATAAATTATTTACCTAATTTTAAGCAAAGTTAACATTTTATTGTTTGTTTTGGTCGGTTTGCAAATTTATTTGTTTCATTAACTGACACCAAACAAGGATTTAGTATCATTCAGTTTATGAATATATCTGTCTCAAAACACAGATATATTGTATGTTTAGACAGCACTTTATGTAACGATTACAGCTTAATTATCATATTTATGAATAAAACATGAAAAGTGCACATGATGAAAGTACAATGTTTGCTCAATAGAAACACGAAATTGAATTTGGAAACTATTGAAAATCTGATGTTAATAATATCCTTATGATCATGATAATCACTGATATGTACTTAAGTATATGTTTTTGTTTTTTTTTCAATCCAGCTAGTGCTTGTTTTGTTCCTTCCTCAACAACTAAAGCTGGAAAGTCGCCATGTGACCTATACTGTGTTGATACGACGTAAAACCGAACCAAAACCAAAATAAAACAACAACAAAAACAACAACAAAAAAAGCAACAGTCAAATATACATGCAAGGCTCCTTGTCGGTGGTCACGGTTGCTGGTTTTTATTGGGAAATGTTACCCTTCCTTTTTAATCTCAATTGTTTGTAGATCAAGATAAATTGATTCGGATTATTTTACCTATTGATACTTAATATGAGGCCTTTATAATTGTTAACGCTGTAAATCTCGCGATTCCTTCTATAGAATTCAAATGAATTAAAAACTGACTTCTACAGATATCATTTAATATGTAAATAGAACATAGTATATTGAATGCAACTGTAATTAAAATGTAGGGTATTATTATACAAGAAAATACATGACACGATCTTCAATATATCAAAAAGACTTTAACAATCAGGACGATTTTGTAAATTTAATATTCATATGAAAAAAGAAGCCTTTCAAATCAGACTACAGATTAATTTCAGTTTCAAATTATAGCGTGATTATTTGAACATTAAGTTGTTTATTCACACAAAATGATTGACCGACTTTAAAAAAATATATTTAAAAAGTACTATTGTAGCATTATGATATCTTCAAAACGTGTTAAGTCATACGTTATGCATGTATCTATAAAAAGTATGAATGTTTTATTAGCTGACAGTAAATCGACTGCCATAAAGGTGACACGATATGGAGAACATTGGTTTGCAACAAATATTGAACAGAAAAGAGAAAAACGAAAGGTTAAATGAAGTCTAATGACTGACTTTAAAACCATAACATTTATAAAGTACTGTATGTACTAAAACTGAAACTGAAATAACTGGCATAGCCACTCGTGAGAATACTGTTTTTAAAGCCCACTCGATGAAATAAAATTTCTTCTTACACACAAACAAACAAATATCCTCTATGAAATAGTTGAAAGTTTCATCGCATTGATTAATATATTTTTATCTATTTTTGTTCCGAAGCATTCGCACAGAGTGTGACTATGCACCACACTGTATATAATCTCTGGTATATTCCGGAGAAGTCGCCTAAATTATTAAACACCGAACTAACGAAGGAACGGAAAAAAACACGATATTTTACTGCTTGATATTCGCAATCTCTACCTAAACACTTCTGCCAGCTAAACCCATTTGCGAAGCCGATGAATGTCTGACGTCATCTTCACAATGTTCTCGTATGCCTCTTCTAGCGCTTCATCCAAAGTTGTGTTTTTAAATCTGTATTATAATACCCCCGCACAACGAAGTTGTAAGGGGGGTAAACTGGAATCAGCTTGTCCGTCCGGCCGTCGCCCCGTCCGGCTGTCCGTCGGTTTTTCCTTGTCCGCCCAATAACTTAAGATTCCTTTGACCCACAGTCTTCATATTTGGTATTTAGATTGGCCATGAATAGTAAATGATCCTTATAGATTTTGAGGTCACTGGGTCAAAGGTCAAGGTCACAGGGACATTGACTTCAAAAAGCTTGTCCGCCCAATAACTTAAGATTACTTTGACCCAGTCTTCATATTTGTCATGGAGGTTAGTCATGGTAAGTAGATGACCCCTACAGATCATTTTGAGGCAACTGGGTCAAAGGTCAAGGTCACAGGGGCCTGGACTGAAAAAAGCTTGTCCGCCCAATAATTTAAGATTCCTTTGACCCACAGTCTTAATATTTGGCATGAAGGATAGTCATGATGAGTAGATGACCCCTATTTATTTTAAGGTCACTTAGTCAAAGGTCAAGGTCACAGGGGTCTGGACTGAAAAAAGCTTGTCCGCCCAATAACTTAAGATTCCTTTGACCCACAGTCTTCATATTAAGCATGGCGGTTAGTCATGATGAGTAGATGACCCATATTGATTTTGAAGTCACTGGGTCAAAGGTCAATGTCACAGGGGCCTTGACTTCAAACAGCTTGTCCGCCCAATAACTAAGAATTCCTATGATCCATAGTCTTCATATTTGGCATGGAGGCTAGTCATGATAAGAAGATGATCCTTATTGATTTTGAGGTCACTGGGTCAAAGGTCAGGGTCACAGGGGCCTTGACTTCAAACAGCTTGTCCGCCTAATAACTTAAGATTCCTTTGACCCACAGTTTTCATATTTGGTATTTAGATTGATCATGAATAGTAAATGATCCCTATTGATTTTGAGGTCACCGGGTCAAAGGTCATGATCACAGGGACCTTGACTGAAAAAATCTTGTCCGCCCAATAACTTAAGATTCCTTTGACCCACAGTCTTCAGATGATTTGGTATGGAGGTTAGTCATGATGAGTAGATGACCCCTATTGATTTTGAGGTCACCGGGTCAAAGGTCACAGGGGCCTTGATTGAAAAAAGCTTGTCCGCCCAATAACTAAGAATTCCTATGATCCATAGTCTTCATATTTGGCATGGAGGCTAGTCATGATAAGTAGATGATCCTTATTGATTTTGAGGTCACTGGGTCAAAGGTCAAGGTCACAGGGGCCTTGACTTCAAACAGCTTGTCCGCCCAATAACTTAAGATTCCTTTGACCCACAGTTTTCATATTTGGTATTTAGATTGATCATGAATAGTAGATGATCCCTATTGATTTTGAGGTCACCGGGTCAAAGGTCAAGATCACAGGGACCTTGACTGAAAAAAGCTTGTCCGCCCAATAACTTAAGATTCCTTTGACCCACAGTCTTCAGATTTGGTATGGAGGTTAGTCATGATGAGTAGATGACCCATATTGATTTTGAGGTCACCGAGTCAAAGGTCACAGGGACCTTGATTGAAAAAAGCTTGTCCGCCCAATAACTTAAGATTCCTTTGACCTACAGTCTTCAGATTTGTCATGGAGGTTAGCCATGATTAATAGATGACCCTTATTGATTTTCAGGTCAATTGCTCAATTGCTTAAGAATGATTTGGTCAACAGTCTTGAAGACATATTTGGTATTGAGGTTGTTTATGACTAGTAGATGACTCCTTTTGATTTTAGGTGACTGTCAAAGATCAAGGTCACAGGGATTTTACTATAATAAGCTTGTCTGCTCAAATGCTCAAGAATGCCTGTCGGCAGTGTATTGATTTTGACATTTTCACATTTGAAGCATGTAGAATACATAACTTAGCAATGCACTGGCTTAGTAACCTCAGATTTGGCAGGGAGTTTGTCCTTGAGCTCTAAATGGCCACTGTTAATTCTGTCAAAGTGGTATGCGGTATTCACGCCATGACATTGGCAGTTCTAGTTGAATTAGTCGTAAATAAAAAGATGCACTGGTATTAATTTGTTCTAAAAATCCTCTGCCATGGCAAGTCATTAAATGGAGTTGACGACAAAGTCCTTGACTTCCCGTTTCTGAGGTTCAGGCATCCCGCACACATGACTGAAACATTTTGAAAAATAAAAGCTTTTCCAATGTAGACAGTTCATACGGATACCGATGCGATTGGACGATATCACGAAGTGACGTATTTTCACCATGAAGGGGTAACGTAATCGTTCCATATACTATGTTGTACAACAAATTAAACGTAGCACGGAAAAATGGAACATAGACCTTCATTTTCATCCCCACAAAGAGATAAATGTTTCCTAAGAGGCAAAAAAAGCATTTGATATTCGACCATACGGCCTACTCCCACTACCACCACACACCTCCTGTTTTTATAGTGTTTTTGGACATTTGAAAATGTCATTTCTTGACCAACTTGTATGCCTGGGCCTTATAGTAGCTACGCAACTGCATAATACATGGGATTTGTACCGATGGCAATTATAGCAATCTGTGAAAATTTCAGTATATCTTTTGTTATTATATAAATTTTAAATTAAAAGTCAAAATGCTTGACTATATTGAAGGTTTGTATAATTTCAAGCTTCGAAAATCTGCATTTATATATTTTTAGATGAGAAGACAGGTAAAAGAAGTAAACAGTGCAAAGTTATTGGATTTATTTACAATTAAGTACATGATGTATTTAGTATATAAAAAAACCCTAGCTATGGCTTTCTTTCTTGACATATCTACAGTAAATTGTTTTGCAAAAGTGAATTAACCCTCTGGAAAGTTATAATATACATATAATATACATATACTTATAATAAACTTTAACAGTTTACATATTCTTTTTTTTCAGGTTTAGCTCTGAGCTTTCAAGATGCGCCAATATATATAATGCTTTAGTTGGAAAGATAAAAGTTTGCAAATAATGGCTTCATATAACCCTAAACTAAGGGACAAAAAATACAATAACTGGGTTAAAGCTCAGTTAGCCGTGTTGTTTACTAAGGAAGGAGTTGAACCTTTTGTTTGTAATGAAATCAAACAGTTTCAATTGAAATGTTTACATGATATATGCTACGTAAATGAGTTACCTAGTGGGACTTGTTGTTCAAGTTGCTGCACGGAAAATCTTGTAAAGTGTCCAACAAACAGAATATGTAATGTTAGTTATGGGAAATGTACGTATCATCGAAATGTCACAACACGGTACAATTCTTCCGGCTGTCCTAACAAGATATGTCATAACCTCAAAACTGAAATTCAAAATGCGCATAGGTACTACGGCCCGTCGTACAAAAACAGTGATGCTACCCAGTGGTGCAGTAACTTCTGGGAAGTAGCGAAATGCTTCATGCCACCAGATGGGTATAAAGACAGATCATCTGCAACAGAAACAGACTTTAATGGTATAATCAGCGTTATCCTTAATCACAAAGACTTCCACGGAAAAGTACATGAAGACCTCAATAAGAAGATAAATATATTTGAAAAGGTAAACAATATTTCGATACTATTTAATAATAATGAAGACTTATGTTAAGTACTTGGTAATAAAACAACATATTAATATATTTTTATGACACTACGGTATGAAATATATAATAAATTGTGATTTTATCATGCTTTATTGGGAAAAAAAATATACTAGTAGAAAATAATTTTTCTATTATAATTTAACAGTATGCTTGTTTACAGTATATTTCATAACACATTTAGTACGAGGGTTGTTCAAAAAGTTATAGGACTTAGAGTCTTGCATCTTCATATTCAATTCAATTTAGAATATTTTTAAATGTACAGCGATCGAAAAATGTTTTCTTCAATTTAAACATAAAAATATTGAATTTATTATGCTTAACGCGTGTTCCCTGTGTTATTGAATAACCATGGTAACACGTACCCGGCGCAGCACATAAAAAGGTTATTGAAGCTTAGTTGAACTTCTATTTTATTCATTATTTATTTCCTTTTTCCCCCATTTATTCTACCAACACAATTAATTATATTTAAGTGACATTATACCCAAATTTGACGTCATTCAGACATTAAATGGCTAAATCATCAAGTTTTAAACAGCAGTGGTCATAACGTTTAATGTAAAAATTTGACGTTCGTTAAAAAACTGAAAATGTGTGCGATCATTAAACTTTGCCAACAAATTGGCGATACTCCTTCAGATACATATGAATACATAAAATTAACACAGTACAATTAATCGGCTATCAGGATACTCGTTCTCAGCTTTGGCAAACAACTCAAAAACTACACATACGAAATCACAAATAGGAAAGTATGAGAATGATAGCGGGAATTGACGGGACGTTAGTGGCGTCAAATGAAAAAGCGCTACAAAATGATCGACGGTAAACAGTACACGAACTGTTCGGCATGTTTGATTTCTGCATAGGGTCTATTGATTCAGTTCTGCCCAAATGATTTGTTTCAAACAAAATTCTATTTCATTTTACTAGATATATGTGTTATCAATAATTTAATGTTATAATGATTAACGGTAATTATTAATATTTTCCCCGATTTTCTTTTTAAAATGATACGCTGTCCCTAGTAGAAAAATATACTTTTCAATTGATAATTATTGTTATTTTACTTACATAATCATATTGTTTAAAGAAGGTACGATGATATCTGTAAAATAATTCAATTAATCGCTTTTTCATTAACATCATAAGTTCATGCCTGTTTAATCTATATTAATAACTATAAGAATACAAGAAAACGAGAAAAAGCAGAGAGTGGCCGGCTATCGGGCTTTTTTTCTCGGCGAGCGGAACGAGAATGTGATCGATTTCTTTCTCGCTTCATCTCCATATATGAGGTCTGGTCAAAGTTACATAATTTAGACACCTAGAACACTAGGGAGAATTTTTTCAGAAGGGATGACGCTTGATACATTTTGTTTTTATTTTACGACGTCATAAACGTAATCAATTGTGCTGTGAGCGTGCGCCGTGTCGCGTATCCCTTGTCATTTGAAAATTTCACAGACTCGTTATTTTTAAACATATTTTATTGATTTTTTCACTGTATATAGAGGATATGTTCCGATATTATTATCTTGTAAAATTGTGCACGTAAATTAAAAAATGTGAACAGTAGAACTGCAGTCCTATTACTTTTTGAACAACCCTCGTATCAAGCAAACTATTTGCTGCAAATACTATAGTTTGAATTTCGTCAAGTAAAATGACTGTATGACAGAAATAAAAATGTTTTCCTAAAAGCGAATGAAAGCATGAACTCATTGCTGCACAGTTTAAGCTACATGCCTTAAGATAGGCCAAAAAATAAAATAAAACAAGAGGGCCATGATGGCCCTGAGGTCGCTCACCTGTATATAGGCCCCCCCAACCCCCCCCCAACGTTGCAGGGCCAATTTAACCCAAGGGCTTTTATTTGCACAAACTTGGTAGACACCCTTAAGAAGATGTTTCATGCTAAACATCTAAGCTCTAGCTCATTGGGCTTTTTAAAAGAAGATTTTTTTAAGTTTTTGCTATACACATATAGTTAAAAACAATGACACCCCTGGGGCCGGGCCAGTTTTGACCCTAGGGCTTTTATTTGAACAAACTTTGTAGACACTTACTAGAAGATGTTTCATGCTTAATATCTAAACTCTAGCTATTTGGGTTTTTTCAAAGAAGATTTTTTAAGTTTTTTCTATACACATATAAGGAAAATCAATGACCCCCGGGGCGGTGCCAATTTTGACCCCAGGGCTTTTATTTGAACAAACTTGGTAGACACCTATTAGAACATGTTTGATGCTAAATATCTTAGCCATAGCTCTTTAAGTTCTTTAAAAGAGGATGTTTTAAGTTTTTACTATATGCATATAGGGAAAATCAATGACCCCCCGGGGCGGGGCCAATTTTGACCCCAGGGCTTTTATTTGAACAAACTTGGTAGACACTTATTAGAACATGTTTCATGCTAAATATCTTAGCTCTAACTCTTTTGGTTCTTTAAAAGAAGATTTTTTAAGTTTTTACTATATGCATATAGGGAAAATCAATGACCCCCCGGGGCGGGGCCAATTTTGACCCCAGGGCTTTTATTTGAACAAACTTGGTAGACACCCCATTAGAACATGTTTCATGCTAAATATCTTAGCTTTCGGTCTTTGGGTTCTTTAAAAGAAGATTTTTTAAGTTTTTACTATATGCATATAGGGAAAATCAATGACCCCCTGGGGCGGGGCCAATTTTGACCCCAGGGCTTTTATTTGAACAAACTTTGTAGACACTCACTAAAAGATGTTTCATGCTTAATATCTTAACTCTAGCTATTTGGGTTTTTTCAAAGAAGATTTTTAAAGTTTTTGCTATACACATATAAGGAAAATCAATGACCCCCGGGGCGGTGCCAATTTTGATCCCAGGGCTTTTATTTGAACAAACTTGGTAGACACCTATTAGAACATGTTTGATGCTAAATATCTTAGCCATAGCTCTTTGAGTTCTTTAAAAGAAGATTTTTTTAAGTTTTTACTATATGCATATAGGGAAAATCAATGACCCTCCGGGGCGGGGCCAATTTTGACCCCAGGGATTTTATTTGAACAAACTTGGTAGACACTTATTAGAACATGTTTCATGCTAAATATCTTAGCTCTAACTCTTTTGGTTCTTTAAAAGAAGATTTTTTAAGTTTTTACTATATGCATATGGGGAAAATCAATGACTCCCCGGGGCTGGGCCAATTTTGACCCCAGGGCTTTTATTTGAACAAACTTGGTAGACACCTATTAGAACATGTTTGATGCTCAATATCTTAGCCATAGCTCTTTGAGTTCTATAAAAGAAGATTTTTTAAGTTTTTACTACATGCATATAGGGAAAATCAATGACCCCCCGGGGCGTGGCCAATTTTGACCCCAGGGCTTTTATTTGAACAAACGTGGTAGACACCCATTAGATCATGTTTCATGCTAAATATCTTAGCTCTAGGTCTTTGGGTTCTTTAAAAGAAGATTTTTTAAGTTTTTACTATATGCATATAGGGAAAATCAATGACCCCCCGGGGCGGGGCCAATTTTGACCCCATGGCTTTTATTTGAACAAACTTGGTAGACACCCATTAGGACATGTTTGATGCTAAATATCTTAGCCATAGCTCTTTGAGTTCTTTAAAAGAAGATTTTTTAAGTTTTTACTATATGCATATAGGGAAAATCAATGACCCCCTGGGGCGGGGCCAATTTTGACCCAAGGGCTTTTATTTGAACAAACTTTGTAGACACTCACTAAAAGATGTTTCATGCTTAATATCTTAACTCTAGCTATTTGGGTTTTTTCAAAGAAGATTTTTTAAGTTTTTTCTATACACATATAAGGAAAATCAATGACCCCCGGGGCGGTGCCAATTTTGACCCCAGGGCTTTTATTTGAACAAACTTGGTAGACACCTATTAGAACATGTTTGATGCTAAATATCTTAGCCATAGCTCTTTGAGTTCTTTAAAAGAAGATTTTTTAAGTTTTTACTATATGCATATAGGGAAAATCAATGACCCCCGGGCGGGGCCAATTTTGACCCCAGGGCTTTTATTTGAACAAACTTGGTAGACACCCATTAGAACATGTTTCATGCTAAATATCTTAGCTCTAACTCTTTGGGTTCTTTAAAAGAAGATTTTTTAAGTTTTTACTATATGCATATAGGGAAAATCAATGACCCCCCGGGGCGGGGCCAATTTTGACCCCAGGGCTTTTATTTGAACAAACTTGGTAGACACCTATTACAACATGTTTGATGCTCAATATCTTAGCCATAGCTCTTTGAGTTCTATAAAAGAAGATTTTTTAAGTTTTTACAATATGCATATAGGGAAAATCAATGACCCCCCGGGGCGGGGCCAATTTTGACCCCAGGGCTTTTATTTGAACAAACGTGGTAGACACCCATTAGATCATGTTTCATGCTAAATATCTTAGCTCTAGGTCTTTGGGTTCTTTAAAAGAAGATTTTTTAAGTTTTTACTATATGCATATAGGGAAAATCAATGACCCCCTGGGGCGGGGCCAATTTTGACCCAAGGGCTTTTATTTGAACAAACTTGGTAGACACTCACTAGAAGATGTTTCATGCCAAATATCTAAGCTCTAGCTCTTATGGTTTTTTAAAAGAAGATATTTAAAGTTTTTTCTTTCGGTTGCCATGGCAACCAGAGTTCTGCATGGAATTAAATTCTTTGAACAATTTTTAAAGGTGACCACCAAAGGAACATTCCTGTGAAGTTTGGATGAAATTGGCTTAGTGGTTTATGAGGAGATGTCATTTAAAGAAAAAGTTTACGGACGGACGACGGACGGACGACGGACGGACGTCGGACGAAAAGCGATCACAAAAGCTCACCCTGTCACTTTGTGACAGGTGAGCTAAAAATATTAAAACTTGAGAAAAACGTACTATGATTTTAGGGAAAGAAAATCAACTTTGAAGTCATATTTTACATGTTATGTATGTTACAAATGTACTTGTTTGAATAACTATTAATTAATTTTGCAGTATTTATTACCATATTTGATCTGCTTGACAAATACAGTACAAATGGCTATTTATGTATTGAATGTATTCTATAGAACTATTTTATTTTACATGGCTTTTCACTCTTTAAATGTTTTAGATAAATGAATGAGAACTGTTATTCAATTTTGACCAGGTGAGAGAGATTGGAAGAAAGGTACGACATTCATCAACACTGGAAGTAGAAGATTCAGATCTACATCATTACTTTCAACTATTACAGCAGATGCTTTCTGACCCCGGGTATTTAGTTACTGACACTCATGCGCAGAATGCTAAAAAGAAACTTATACAGGTGATTAAACAATTTTAACATTTGAATATGTTTAACATTTCATTGTATGACTATATCAAAGTATTTCGTGTGTAATCTACGTAAAAGTGTAAAAATCTAATTAACTAATCATTATTGAATTTTTTAAAAAGTCATGTTGTTGTGGAAAAGTACTGTCTCTCTTAAGTTATGATCGGTCCACAAAAACGTAACATAGAATGCTTTTTTTTTTGTTGAACATAATAAATTGTTCCTGAACAAAATAGTTTGCTGTAAGTAAATGTTGACGACTAAAACGGTTTTTGCAATGGCTCGTTATGAAATATACAAACATTTTTCTCCATACATAAAATCTTATAACCTAATACGATTTTCAAAATGCCCTCCGATAGTTGCAAAATAAAGTCATAATATTCAAATAATAAAGGCCAATAATAATATTGTTCTATGCTGAAGATTTATACTTATTTTCAAAAAGTTTTGTAAGAAAACAAAAATGGTTACGCCCCTGTGACTATTACACGACACAGGAACAAACACTAATTTTGTTTACAACAATTGTCAAAGATTTTCTTTATTCATTTTAAACTATCATAATTTCGATCAGCATACAATTTACAAATTAGGGATGACAAACTTTGTATACGTACATGTTACAAAGGATGCTTAAGATACAATATATCTTTAAAATGTACACTTTATGATTAACATATATTATTCTTATGTACTATTATATTGATTCATATTGTACATTTTATGATCTTTATAATTACAGTTAGAAGATGACACATTTGTCATTGGTAAAGATGAAATGAGGAAAGTACTAGACGATGTGACAACCGTAATTAAAGACAAGATGAAGGCTGGATTAGATGAGCATTACGACGAAATTAAACTAGATATAATAAAAAGAAAACAAGAAGATCTTCTATGTCTTGCATCTAACACCGCCGAGAGAATGACACAGATACAAGATAAAACTGAAGATTCTGTAAAAAGATTACATGATGAAAGGGACAAAGCAATTGATACACTTCGAAAACAGGGAGATAAAGAACAAACAGACCTGGCTGAATTAGGAAAGACGCTACAAGAAAAACTGAAAACAGCAAGTAAAGCCGAGAAAGATAAACAGTATATTGATTCTTTACAAAGTAAGTGATATAACATTCTAAAAACGTTTTCCATGTGATATTACTATAACGAATTTCATTTTCATTTCCGAGTACAAAATGTCCGTATCAAATCCATACTGCACTCGAAGTGACTGTAATATACATTTTTGTTATGCTAAGACACCAGAATTGTTGATCTTAGGTGCAATTTAATTTAATGTATTTAAATTTATGTAAAAGTTCATTGTTTTGTACCATGCATATAGTCTTTTATTAATTTATGTAGTAATGTACAGGTAAACTATTTCTAAGTATTCCTTTGTGCGACGATTATGCCAAGAACCTAGATATTTGACATGTACCATTGCCTAGTGGACATATATGTTATGTAAGTCATGCCCTCTTTTGTCGAAAATAGCCCACCCTTCGGGTTGCTTGATTAACATATACTTGACTAGTAAATCTTCTTCTATGAAAGTACAATGCCAAGGGTTTAGATATTTTGCATATAGCATCATCATGTGATGTACTACCAATTTTATATAATTTGGAAAAAATAATGATATCTTTAGAAATTTCAGTACGTTGAAAATATCCCTTTTTAATGTTTAAGGTGTGTGATCGTAAAGCCTGTCACTTCTTTTGAGAAACAAGTCAAAACATTAACATTTTTTCTCAGAAGTTGAAATATAGGCCTATAGTTTGATTATTTGAGCCACTGTTGTGAATTGTGTTTTCTTGCATATCTGAGCACAAAGTGATACACCTGTGTCCGTCGTCTTCCAGGAAAGTATGTCATTTTTTTGGAGGACAGTGAAAGATACAGACAGATGCCTTTATTCTAGAAGCGTCTCCTGGTTCTTTATCGTGCCACGTGTTAAAGCACATAAATACTGAGTTTCATTCAAATACTGACGTATTCTTTTTTATTAGTTAACCAACCCGGGACTTTAACCCACAAGTCTCGCACTTTAACCGACTGAGCTATGCGGGCTTGCAGAACCATTCTATGTGGTATACGTTTTATTTATTGAGGCATCTGCACCATTCCTGATATGTAATTTATTATAACTATCCTGTGAAATGTTATCAAATTTTAATAGTTAGATTGCTAAACGATTTACTTTCACAAGAGCTTCCTCCCATGCTGAATCCCTGAGCTTGAACTTATATATGACCAAATTACGTTTCTTACCCTACTAAATAATTCGAAATAAGTAATGGACATTAAATTTGATGAAGCTAAATCTTATGAAAAATTGTTTATAAAATTTATTAACCGTAACATTGTATTGTTTCTATTATCTTATGGTTGATTTTTAGCTCGAATATACAAAGTATATGGAGAGCTGTCCTACTCGACCCGGCGTCGGCGTCCGCGTCCAGATTTCAGATTAAAGTTTTGGTGCAGTAAAATATTTTTCACTATAACTTTGTCATTTCTTAAGGTATCAACATTAAACTTCAAATATATGTTCCTTATCATAAACCATATCTTATGTGACAAGGTTCATAACTCTAGCACCAATATATTCAGATTTATCTCCCCTTGAACTTGGAATTTTCCTTAAAAAATACTGTTTTTTTACTGTTTCTTCTTTATTTCTTTAGGGATCAACTTCATACTTCAAATATATGTTCCTTATCATCATCCACATCTTATGTGACAAGGTTCATAACTCTAGCACAAATACTTTTAGATTTGTCTCCGCTTGAACTTAGAATTTTCCTTAAAAAATACTGTTTTTTACTGTTACTTATTTATTTCTAAAAGGATCAACTTCATACTTCAAATATATGTTCCTTATCATCAACCACGTCTTATATGACAAGGTTGATAACTGTAGCACAAATACTTTCAGATTTATCTCCCTTTGAACTTAAATAATACTTTTTTTACTGTTTCTTCTTTATTTCTTTAGGGATCAACTTCATACTTCAAATATATGTACCTTACTATCAATCACGTCTTATGTGACAAGGTTCATAACTCTAGCACAAATACTTTCAGATTTATCTTCGCTTGAACTTAGAATTTTCCTTAAAAAATACTGTTTTTTACTGTTACTTATTTATTTCTAAAGGGATCATTTTCATACTTCAAATATATGTTCCTTATCATCAACCACATCTTATATGACAAGGTTGATAACTGTAGCACAAATACTTTCAGATTTATCTCCCTTTGAACTTAAATAATACTGTTTTTACTGTTTCTTCTTTATTTCTTTAGGGATCAACTTCATACTTCAAATATATGTACCTTATCATCAATCACGTCTTATGTGACAAGGTTCATAACACTAGCACCAATACTTTCAGATTTATCTCCCCTTGAACTTACAATTTTCTTTAAAAAATATCATTTTTTACTGTTACTTATTTATTTCTAAAAGGATCAATTTCATACTTCAAATATATGTACCTTAGTGCAGAAAATTCTTTACATTCTAATAGATAATGAAATTCATCACCAATGCTACCAAGACAGTTACAAAGTGTGCACTTTCGCTGATGAAGTTCTGTCCTATTCCAGCTTACTGTTTCTACTGGAAGTCTATTATAACGAGTTCGAAATTCAATAACATATATAAGCAGGTTATGGGGTGTATTTACTAAGTATGGTTCGAATTTGAACGTTTTTTTTTGAATAATCGGTAGTTTTTACATTTTTACATTGTTCGATTTTAAACTTCTTTTCATATGTTTGTCACAATGATGCATTTTAAACCAAAATTACAGTATAATTGTTTATAATAAACATATTTAAATATCTATGAAACGCAGTAACTTCAATATTTTAAATAGCAGAATAGTGCTAAAACTATGGTAAATGCACTTGCATCACTTTTTGAGTTAACCTTTTACCCCATGAGCATATTGCGAAAAATGGCCGTTTTCATTGAAAAGCCTCCTGTAACAAGTTCAAACTGCTATGAAACTATGGAAAATGCTTCAATACCAATGAAACTTAGCACAAATGTTGACTACACCATAGCCTCTGTAACAGCATGCTCAATGGTAAATTTCCTGTTACCATGGCAACGGGGGGACGTCTAAAATTGCCAAAAATCACTATTTTGCTTTTTTTTTTTCCATCAAAACTGATTTCAAAGAGCTGCAACTTCTCAATGAATTGAGATAGAGTAAAAGGCTTTTCAGCGTCGGTTACTAGTTACCCTAAGATCGACCTGAGGCCATTTTTAGCCTGTCACATGTCCAAAATTTTCTTGGCGATGAGGGGGACTCCGCCCCCTTCAAACCCCCCAAACAGAAGGGGGCACATCCCCCTTCTGGCAACCCCCTGATGTAATATTTGGATGGGGGACGGCGCCGAAAGAGTCACTTTTTTTAACAACATTTCTCAAACGAAACACAGTGTTTGGGGCCTAAATAGGGCATTTTTTCACTGTTTGAGGCCTCAAAAGGGGGGGGGGGGCAAAAAGCCGTCGAAACACGCTTATATAAGGGAAAAGGTTAAGAAATATAGTGCAAAGTCTTGTTAGTGAAGCGGACAGTGTCATTACTTTTTATTCATAAATGAATAATTATAATATTTATATCAAATATAATAATTAATGAAAATGTCACATTATTGTCTGGTATTAAAAGGATTTACACTAAATAAACAAATCAGATTGCTAAGTCTCCTGTAAAAATTTATAAATGTCAATTACAGTTTTATTTGCGCCAGTGACAATATTGCAACTTTCCAGCATAACTGTCTCGAGGGACGTTTTTTTTTTGCTTTATTTCAGGTACAAATTACTCTTTCATTTGACAGAATTTTCTATCTATTTACGCGCTACGCATTGGCCACCAATATCATGAGCATGATAATTGTTTGTGATTCATATGCTTTTACAGAGAAACCATATACATTGAACACAAGAAGAAAGAAACAAAGCACCAAGAGGCCGTTCATAGAAATTAATCACTTGTCAATAGGAACATTTGTCTTCAATCACACCTCACACAAAATGGAACAAAATGTGCCTAAACCAGGTAGCAAAAGAAATAAATAAATAAAAAAAATAGATAAATAATTAAAAATATAACAACTTAGTATTAGTTATTTTACCTAAACATTAAATATACATGTAAATCACACATGATATTAATCAAATTTTAAAATGAAAGTAATAGCTTTATTTAATTTATGAATTTGTATAACTGTTTGTTTTCCTTTATAGAAAAAGCTAAGCTTTTTGAAAGTTACTACTCGGAGTTTAGTGCAAAGGAAGAAGAATGTCACCAGTTTGCATCAACATGGGGTTTTAATGCAAAATCGCCTCGTGGAAACTTTATAGATACGCGAGATTGTTCCCCCATTACTGAGAGTGTGTTCGAGTCTATTGTTAAAGTGGAAGCCTCTCGCTCTGTTTGCATGATTTGCTTCCCTGGTGGTGGGAGAGCTACCGGGTTTCGTGTTGGACCTAGATATATCATGACTGCCAATCACGTTGTTGATCATATTTTAGGTAGCAAAGGTTTGACATGTTTTGTTCTCTTATGTACAGTAAAATGATGTGTAATTGTAGAAAATCCATGTTATGAACGCAGCTTTAAAAGTGATAAATATTTATTTAATAAGTCAATTACCAATGCCGCAGTTAATTTTAGGCACTGTTTGATCGCTCATATTAATCGGAAATATTCTTACATTTTGTTAATTATAACAAATATTGGCACATTTTTTTAGCAGAAACTGTTGCATAAAAATACAACAAATCCATCGGACCAATCATAAGAATAACTTAAGATGTAAATAGTTCATTTGTGAAAAGAAGATTACCACAGGACTGGTGTAGCAAGCCATCTTAACCCATGCTTTACTAAAATGTAACTCGATCACCCTAAAAAGAGTAGATACTACTTGTTATTTCTCATTCAATAATGTATTGAATCATCAGGAAATTAGGCAAAGCCTATGAACGGTGAAATCTTTAAAAAAATCCTTTCATTTTTCCGTTTTAAAGGTGTCATTCGTTATTTCATGCACCGCTTCTGTTTTCACTCGGAACACTCGACGATTATTATCAATCCGAAAACTTGAGATTTGTTCCGTTATCGGAATACACCGCCTTTTATCATTGAGTTACATTGTAAATGGCGGCGCCTGAACATTTCATTGATAGATATAGAATTCTATATATTTTTTAATTGTTTTTTATTTGATTTTCTTTTAAATTACACATGTAGTCTATAGCCGGGCAAGCCAAAGCCCGGGCCCGCACAGCGGACTTTGACTTCCCCGTATTAAAGTTTGTCTTATTTTCATTAAGCTATTCATCTCTCAAGATGAATAAAGTCTTAAAAGCATCACGACAAAAGATTCACAGAATAACAATTGTTCATATTTGAAGTCAGTACCCGACTGTTTTTACATTTTTCTTTTGACTTTCTCATCATTTACGATATACAGACATTCACTTTATGGCCATTTTAACATGTCATTTCGACACCTATTTTGAATTAAGTAGAATTAAAAGAAACAAAATTATAGAGAAATATATTGAATAAAAGTAATGGATACCGTACGAGTTTTTCTTCGAAAGTGTGTTCTTACAGGCGTATGAGGACAGTTTGGTAGGATAAACAACAAATTGTCCGAGGCGACAATGTTATGCATGGTTTTGTTTTGGATTGACACAAACATGTATACTAGCAATGAATCAGCCGATATCAGGAGTGTTTAACATAGCAAGTGCGCTATTTTGAAAAGTGAGAACGTGACATTCATTTGACGCCGTTGACGTTGTCAAAATTCTCCATGACGATGCATATATGTTGTTTGTAAATACTTTCAAAATACAAACGCTAATCACAGTTCAGTATTTTTTTGTAAATGTGTTCGCTTGATATTTATACTTTTGCTGACGACATTTGCACAACGTATGTGTTTTTAAGACTAAAAAATGAAGAAATATATGAACTTTGCGGACATCTCTCGTAGTTCATATAAAACTCAAGATAATTATACGATATATGAAATCGATGTTAATTATCATTCTGCAAAAGGTAATGCTTGTTCATAGACAGGTGTAAAGTTTGAAGTTTACCTGATTTTATACTTTACCCGATTTGACTGCGATGCCAAACAGAAAATGTAAAATCAAATAATTTCACCAAACCTTGATAAGTTTAGAACATTTACTAGATGGGTAATGAAACAACACAACACAATTTGAAAGCACGTGTAAATGTACGTCACAAATGCACCTCACACTATTTGTCACTTCACAAAATAAATTCGGAATATTGATTATGATTATTATAATTTTACGTGATTAACTATATCATGGTATTAAAACGTTCTTGTTGAATGATTTAAGAAATTATATAGCTGAATAAACAACCGGTAATGTGCCAAATTATTTGACACTTATCGCCTTGCCAGTCTAGATAACCAGTACGAACTGTGTGATATCATGTAAAACAGGGGTAATAAGATTTTATCTTGAAAATTCTGCTGTTTCAGTTTCAATTACTTATGAAAAGGTTGCTCTTTTTTATCAATAATTTATTAGCCCGCATATTTTCTTATATATCTCTTATAAACATCATGTCATGTTTTACGTACTTACCGCTTTAAGTCATCTAAAAATTACTGTTTTCTAAGTGACATGACTTGAAATCTTTTTTATCTAAGCCTTAATGTATGAGAATAGAAAAAGAATATTGATCATGAATTTCGTTTTCACAACCTATTATTTAAGAGATCAGAGTTTTCAAATTGCCACTAGGAAACATTCGTACATCTCTATTTATCAAACTCAAATTATTCTAAACCTTTAGGTAAATCAAATTGTTTAAAAACTGGTATATACAGATATGATACAATGTATATTATTTCTTGAATGCGCATGCGCTAAATGCAACATCCGTTAGTATGGAAAGATCGTAAAAGTATTGTGAAAAGATCTATAAGAAATTACATTGTCGTCAAGATGGTGCATCGCTTCATCTGAGTTCAAATATTTAATGTTTCAATTTTTATGTTATTTGTAAACCCATATTACGGTCTAACTCAGGGGTGTGTCTTTAGTAGGGGTCTAATGATAAGGTAATTTATATGTCTAAGAGTTTAAAGTACCAAGAGGTTGATAAGCTTCTGGTATATCAATACCTTTTAAACGTTGGTTTGTTGTATCCATAATCGCGTCCGGAATTTCAAAACAGTGTAACAAATGTCTGTATACTGGTATCCGGAATTTTGGATACTATTTTTTTAAATTGAATCAAATAAATGATAAAGTCACATAAAAGGATGTGCATTAAAGTATCATACAAGTATTAATATTTTGTAATAGCTGTGTTCCTGACCAAACATAAATAAATGAAATGAAAACAAAAGAAAAAAGAAAAGAAAAAGAAATATAGAATACGACGAATTTTTAGTTATAACAGACACGATGACTTATATCCTAGATATGTTATGTGTTATGATATTACATATACCTTATTATACCTGAGTGAATAAATAATGGTAATATACTTTTTTATATTTCAGGCTTTGGGCAAAAAGGAAACACTCAAACTTGTTTCTCGGCATTAAACAGTGCGGAAGTGTATGCCCGTTTCGAGTTTATAAAAGACGGGCCTATTACAGAACATCAAATATTTAGGTTTAAGGCAGCTGTTCATTTTCGTGATAACGAAACTGATTGTGCTATTCTTGAACTAGAGGAAAAATGTAATGGGACTGAAATACCGCGTTCATTTAAATATTTTTGTTTAACAAGACTTAATAAAAAATTTAGTTTGATCGGACATCCATTAGGAAATGCAATGGAATTTAACCACGTGGACAAGATTATTGATATTGAAAGTGAGGAAACCAAAAGGGACATTATTGAAGTAAAACAAAGGAGTTTGAAACACTCAGGCAAAGATTATGATATGCCTCCGCATAATATCCTGAATAATCCTAAAAGATTTTTGTTTCATTGCAAGTTCACAAAAGGTGCATCTGGATCGCCTGGTGTGGTCACCTGCTCCGACGGGCGTATTGTAGTTGTGACAATGTTATTGTGCGGACTTCCGGATTGGTATTATGACTCAAACGTTGATGCTAACGTTAGATCCCAGTGGCCGAAAGATCATTGTGTTGAACAAGGGGTTAATCTTAAATATGTCTATGAAAAGATGTATCAATGCAACAAATCGCTGTGCAATCAAATATTCCATGATGATGATGAGTCTAAATCTAATTAAAACTCATTACAGGACAAATGCATTTGAGTTGAAAGCAGTTTAGGAAATAATGTATAAAATACATGTCTTTGAGTAAGATGTTCTGTTTTATGCTTACAATTACGGCAAAAAGGAAATTTGAAAGGTTGCTTTATAACCATAGACAAAAAGAGCAAAAGTGTATATGTTGCATTTGCTTTTGGTTATATCTTCATTATAATAAGATAAAATATATCATTAGTTATAATGATTTGACAAGTAATTTGACCTAGATAAACCCTGTTAGTAAATATAAAAGAAGCTTTCAGGCTCAATAGCGAACAGTTTGTATACATTACCTTTTAACTTTCAAGACTTGGTGTTGGTGATGATGATAATATGTAATGGATAATGTTGTTGTTATTATTATTATTATTGTTATTATTATCTTTTTTATTATTCTAGATGACTTGCTGGCTAATTAAAGTTATGCTTTCTCGCTAATTCCCAGTGAATGTATATATAAAATTATGTGATATATTTTGACATATAGGTATGTTGGATTTTATCATTTTTCTCTGCTTTATATTGTAGAAATATAGTTCTATTGTAGTTTATATAAAATATCAAAGTAAAATGTAAGAATTATTGTCATTTACGATTGACTATAATTATATCTATAACATTTCTTCATGGTATATTTATGTTCTTACATGCAAGAAAATACAAATCATTATTAGGTCTGTTCATATGTGTTTATCAATTATAGGCTGATTTGTAGATTTTATATATTTATTAATGCTTTGCTTATCAATGTTCTAGTTAAATTTGATGTCGTTATTTTTCAGCTCAAGAATATACAGATATTTATAGTTATCTTTATGTTCTTAACATATAGAGACTATTTGTTTAGTTCAGTATAAGATCGGAATATATTTCACCGAGTGAGCACCAAAAGAAATATGAACTTTTAGTGTTCACAGTGTGAAATATATTTCGATCTTACACTAAACTAAACAAATTTTCTTTTTAATATATGCAAAGAAACATTTTAAAAAGACATTTAACCTAATACTGAATGAAAAGCGCGCCAAATAATAATACAACGTGACGTCATTTACGACATCACGTCATTAAGTTGGTTTCCGGTACTGTGCACTCTAGTATTTCACTGAAACAACGTAAGGGGCTTAAATTCAAAACAGTGAAAGTATCGAATTGTATTGTAGCGTATGAACATACAACTTCATTCATAATGGAAAAATGACGTCATCTGAAGAACGCGATTTCATTCATAAAAGGCGCGT